TATATATATACACATCCAACTACATAAATCAAATTGCATTACAATTAAATCATACTTCATTAACAAAACCATCTCATTTACAAGCTTAGTTTACTTGTACTAGAAGCTTTCAAAAGACCTCGATGACGCATCACTTGGTTGTACAATTAACTTATTGCACAAAGAATTAAATTGTGGTGTAGTATATGTTCCTTTAAATAAACTCTTGTAAATCACATTGTATGCAGCTTCCGTTAAGTGCAATCCATCCCAGTTAGCATATGTTTCTGGGTCAACGCATGTCGTTGCTAAAGGATCTGCACAAGCTACGTTTTCATTGTAGTTATATGGCCCTCCACCTCCGCAACATGCCCTTAGTGCTCCATTTGTGAATCCTGTATATACACACAAATACATCAACTTGGGGCCCAAAAAAAAGTTCTCAAAAATAATTATTTATTTTTATATTCGTATATAAATTAATTAAAAGTGATATTCCACATATGAATCCATTATTGTAGCATGAACATAGAAGATAACTTAGGTTATGTTGGGAAGTCACAACTATCTTATTTATAAAGTATTTTCAGGTTGTTATATTTGTTAAACCAATAAGTTAGCTTTTTAAAAGGTTATTCAGATTAACGAGCTTGTTGAGATTTTAAAAAAAATTATAAAAGAAAACTCAATACTCTGTCTTTTTATATAATTTTATATATTTCAGTTAGCTTATAACCTAGTTGCACCAAACATCATTTTTTATCAGCTAATTACAACTGCCATTTCAACTAGCAGATAGTTTTTCAAATAACAACTAATTTTTCTGCTAGTCCATCAAACATAATCTTAATTAGTGAGTGTTAAATACCGTATTTTTGTGGAGATTGGAAAAATTGCATGGCAGCGTTGTAGTAATCGGCGTAGATGATATTGACATTGGGATTAACTTCTCGGATTTGATTTAATGCAGTTTGAAGCAACTCGTTGTGATACTCAGCAAACTTGTTTAACTCTATAATGCAACCTGTTGTATTATCGTGTCTAACCCAATCAGAACCATAATAGATCGTTAAGTACGCAGCTGAGCATCCAATCGGTAGGTTTCCAGGAATAACAAGTGTTTCAGCCCCAAGCTCAATCAACTCCTGCATGCATTAATCCGAGATTGATTGCTTAACTTTAATTTAATTAATATACGCATGTTGGTTTAATGTAGTGTATGATTTTATGCTTATACTTACGTTGATAGCTGAAACAATGGTGTTAATAACGAGAGGAACATATGATTTCAGCTCATCAATTGGTTTTCCAGCGATTACTGCATGATTGTAATCGTTACCTCCGATCTCTCCCATAAGAATTAATGAATTTTTAATTAAGTGTCTGCAATCTGCAAAATAAACATTTACATTCAATGAATGATATACGAAAACCAAATACATATTTCTGTTCTATTATTAGATAATGTAATTCTAATATTTTAAACTTGATATATAAGAGTATATACATTATTTTAATTGACTTAAAATTCAACTTACATATTTGTAAATTGATGACAATTATTACTATTATTATTATTGTTATTATTATTAATTAACTAACTTAATTATTAGTCATTTCAAAAGGTTGACCTCGTAGGGTGTACTCCAACTACAAAGTCAAATATGGTCGAATAACAGAACATTCAAAGATACATACTTCGATGCATATACATTCTTTTTTTGGATTTTTGGTTTAAATTTCATTACATCTTTTTCTTTATTGAGAAGAATCAAATAGTTCTAATATTATGTGGCTCTAAATAAACTTCACCAACTCTCAAGGCCAATTAATCATAATGGGTATTGTCAACATCAGAAAAAGATCCCTAAATTTTTGAAGACTTAGAGTTGTGTTAATTATGTAAATGAATAACAAGTTAAGATAATTTAATTTGTAAACAAACTATTAACTATTAAAGTAGATCATTTGAGCTTTAAAATTAAATAGTTTTATGTTCGAATTCCATAAACTTTAGCTTTAAAATAATTTGATATTTAAAGAAAAATTGTAACAAATAAAAGTAATTATGAATTCTATATAAATAAATTCTTAAGATAAAATTAACGGTTGTTGAAACTACCTATCAACTAACATGTTTGAGAAGTTGTTTAAATTTAAGAAACTATCGAGAATACATTGAGTGTATCTTTTATAAACATCATAAAAATAAAAGTTTAGCCAAAGTCTTTATTCATACTCGGTAAGCTAATTATAATATATTAAACTAAGTTCATATGTTGATAAAAAATCGTTTTTTCGGTTAGTCATAGTTATTGTTGCAGAGGTTGGTGAGCGAGTCACCACCCGTTAAGACTACATCCACACGGTTGGTTAACAATTGAAAAAGTCATTTTTTGTATCTTTTTGATCCATTTTGGCGCATATAAATTGGATTATTTTGTTGAGTTTACTGTAATTTAGTATATACCGAGACCATAAAAGTAGCTTATACACCAACTTATATGTTAATTAACTTGTAAACTAACTTTTTGAAAAGTTATATCTGAGATAACTTATTAGTAACTAGTTTTTCGAACACAACCTACATATTTTCTTTGATAAGTTGTTTGAAATAATTTATTGGTGAGTTTAGGTTGGACTTGGCTACCTGACGGGGTGCCACAAATAGAAGGCAACGAATCTTTGAACCATTCCAACTGAACACCCAAAGACGCGTTTGTATATGGATTGATAACCCCTTGTGCCTCATGGAACGCTGAATCTAATGCAGTCGCACCGGCTACTGCAAAATTCACCCCCTGGCCTTTCTCCAACATACCATTAGTCTTGACACCCTCATATGGTGGTATCAATGGCATACCAAGACTCTCAGCTTCAAGAAAAAAAAACAATTATTAGATGATAATTCAAACGTGTTGAATTTAAGTACAAGAAACCAAATAGGTACGACTTCGTACATTTTGTTGAATCACACTTGTTAGTACATGTTACATTAAAGTATAGTTCACACAATCCTTGCTTCAAAACCCAAGTACCGTTTTGATAATAAAGAAGGGTATTCTAATCTTAAAAATATCCATTTAATTCATATAATAATATATTTTTTGTTAGCTGTACCACAAAATTGCTATTTGTTGGGTGATCGAGTTTAAGTGAGAGTTTATAACAACTTGTGTTATATTAATAAAGATTAATAAGTTTTGATCACCTTATTAATTTTAAGTCTAAAGAGGACGTGATGTTTCACTAATTAGGGTGTTTATAACAACCCATAAAGAAATCATAGTATCTAACAAAATTATTGTTCGTATTTTTAATTTTTAAAGAAAAATAAAGTTTTTCACTTTTCTAATGGAAATTAACATATTTTTTTACTTATATAAATCTCTTTTTTTTCTCATGTTTTAAAAAACAGTCTACTTTCCTCAAAATCCTACAAAAATACATCTAATACCTTATTTAGAAACAGTCTCGACCAAGGAAAAAAAGGAGACCGAACATATCAAATATAAATACATATATAAATTAAGTTTACATGAATCAGTCAAGATGCCTCTATATATTAGTATGCAAAGTTTATGAACGGGTCAAATATATAAACAGGTCATATATTTTTATTTATTTTGACAAGTTTAAGTTGTTAAACTAATTTGGTGTTCGTGAAAACCGAATAAGAACTGCAAAAAAATAAAAGTGTGTAAATATATACCAATGAAATCAATGATCAAACGGCCATTGGAGCACCTTCCGGTGGCTTTATGGAAGTAGGTTTCACCGTACGGTGGAAACATGAAATGTGGTGGCCGGCTGTTTGATCTGGTGGTGAGTTGTTTTAGGTTTCCGGTATCAGCTAACGAGTCACCAAAGCTTATGATCGATGTATAACACCCATTAGCATTCATGGTGTATGTCACTAACAGCATCAACAAGGAAAAAATGGGAAGAAAAGTCGGTGAAATCATCATTAATGGGGGAGAATTTGAGCTCAAGATAATTTTGTTGCTGGTGATTCATCTATTTTGTGTCTGTATTTATAATTAGAATAGAAAAGCACTGTTTGCTTCTGATGTACACCAAGAAACTGACACGAAACATGCACTGAGCTTATGTGTGAAATTACCTTTATGCCCTTTTGTAGGTTAGGTGACCCAGTCCAATAAAGTTTCAAGACTTTTTCCCACCCTACAAAAATTTGTGTAACTAGAAAATACATTCTATAATTTTATCGATTGATAAAAACATATGTATATTTTGTATTTTCTAATGTAACAAACTTAGTATTTTTATTTATTTATTTCGATTTCTAATTTCACATTTCAAATAAGTCATCTTTAGTAAACCAGTGAGTTAATTGCTCGAGTTACCTATTTGGGGCCCATATACCCAAAGCAAAAGAAAGTAGAAACCTCTCCCCTCCTTTCGTTTTTCACTCCTTCAAAACATTTCTAATTTTACTCACATTCGTTATATCAAAATCCGATTTGCCTTGATTGTATTTAGTCGACAGAAATAAACGAAAAAGTAGATTTACTATCTTTGATTTTGAAATGCAAAAAATAATATCTTTATGCATTATAATATATTCAAAGTTTTCTACACTTGCAAGTTGCAGATAATTATTGTTTGCTATTTTTATAAGATCATGATTAGTATATAACAAAAAGCCAAATATAAGAATAGAAAGAAAAAGTCACTTGCACTTATAAAAATAATGTGCCATAGGAAAAAATAATACGTCAAACTTTGTTGGGACATATATATATATATATATATATATATATATATATATATATATATATATATATATATTAAGTTCAAATGTAGATGACATCTATTGTACGGATATTTATGGACAATGTTATTCTATTAGAATGATTAATAGAATAGATTGTTTGGTAACGTGAATACGTTCAACCTCACATAACTATTGTCATTATTATGCAATTTCACTCGTTTTCATTCATTCTTGTTCTCACGCATTGTTATTCATTCGCTCATTCTTACAAAATATTATTATCAAAAAAACATTCTAACATAATGAGAATCATATTACCCTTATAGATAATTTCACTAGTGAGAATGTATGATAACGACAATAGTTATGTAATGTTGAATGTATTCTCTTTACCAAACAACCTATTCTTTTAGTCATTCTCACTGAATAACATTGTCCACTCATGTCCGCTCAATAGAT